GCCCGTGGGAAGGTCTCCTGACACAACATTCGGTGAGATTCCGCAAGTGACACAGAGAGAGTCCTGCTGTGAGGACCCATCCATCCTGCACCCAGAGGGTGCTTTTCTTTTACGAGGAGAAGGGAGGAGAGAGAGAGAGAGGGAAAGGTGGGGTGGGGAGAAGGACAGAGAGAGACAGAGAGAGACTCAGTCTCACCCAACTGTGGGAATTATTATTTTACAGAAAGACAGAGAGAGATGGAGAGAGACAAGGACAGGGAGAGACAGAGACATGAAGAGACAGAGACAGAGAGACAGAGAGATGAAGAGACAGAGAGATAAAGAGAGAGACCAGGGAGACAGAGATATGAAGAGACAGGGAGAGACAGAGAGATGAAGAGACAGAGACAGGGAGACGGAGAGATGAAGAGACAGGGAGAGACAGAGAGATGAAGAGACAGGGAGACGGAGAGATGAAGAGACAGGGAGACGGAGAGATGAGACAGAGAGAGATGAAGAGACAGAGACAGGGAGAGACAGAGAGATGAAGAGACAGAGAGAGATGAAGAGACAGAGATAAAGAGACAGAGAGAGATGAAGAGACAGAGAGAGATGAAGAGACAGAGATGAAGAGACAGAGAGAGATGAAGAGACAGGGAGAGATGAAGAGACAGAGACAGGGAAAGCAGGCGTGAGCCCTCCATTTCCCCTCCGTTAAGGGTGGTTCCGCTGGGGACCTAGCCAGACCCACACCTGGGCTGTGTTCCCAAGGCCGTTGCTGGTTGTGACACCCACAGTTGGAGCAGGAAGGGGCTGAAGCCGCAGCTCCCGGCCCTACTTCCCCTCCATCGCAGGCCCCCCATCACAGCACTCCCAGGCTGCCTCTGCTGCAGGTCCATCCCAGCCTCCAGCCTTTGCCCACCCTGTGCACCAGGACCCCTCCTCCAGGCAACCTGCGCCCCACACTCACACTGGGTGTAGTGCAGGCCTGCAGCACAGGGCGTAGAGTGGAGGCACCAGGCTGGCTCCCTGCCCTTGGCTGCCTCTGTGACCCCCATGGTGGCTCCCTGCTGAGAGCTCCTGCCAGGCCAGGGAGGCAGCAGCGAGCAAGAACTCAGCTGGTTCCTTAGGTCAGAAACAGCCCCATCCTGGTCAAAAAACACATAAAGTTAGGAGCCAACATCCTCAGAGCTTCGCCCTGTGCTACCCTGTTTCTTTTCTCCAACAGAGAGGTGCTGGGGTGTTTCTTTCTTTTATTAACACTGCACCTGGGAATTATAGCCTGCCTTAGTTCTCTATGGCTGCTTTACCAAAAATACCAAAAGGGGGTGGCTTTAAATTTTCTCACAGTTAGGGAGGCTGGAAGTCTGAATTCAGAGCACCGCCTCTGGGCGAGGATGTCAGCTCTGAGGGGGCAGGTCCTGGTCTCAGCTTCTCCAGCCCTGGTGTCCTGGCCTCAGCTTCTTCTCCAGCCCTGGTG